CCAGTCTACTCATTACTAAGATCTTCCCCTCTTGTATCTGCCATTAGGTACAAATTTATTACATTTTATCCCAATATATTCAGTTTCTTAGCACCCAGGCTTTTACAAATTTCCTCCCAAACTAATCCAAATATGCTAAAAATGCATTCAGTTCATGTTGAGGTGACTGTATAAATGTAAAAGTTTTTTTCAAAATCAACGTTTTGAATTCAGCCGTTTGTCTTCTAGCATTTAATTCCTGGGTTTCATTGCTCAAAATGTTAGAAATTCAACACAGACTCCTTTGCAATCATAGGCTTAAGTACTAAAAGAAAGGAAAGAGCATCAAGATAACTTTGTTGGCCCTGTTTCAGCCACTTGCTTTTCTGAGACTCTTGTATTTGGAATTGGGCATTATAGCTGTTAGTAATAGAACAGTTCCATAGCTGTTCTGAACCACTTTTCACTTTTATTTGGGGAAGGCAGGGGTTGTTTTGTTGTAATTCAGATTAAGCTACATTTCCACTGGGACATCTCCGCTGTGGCAGTTGTATCTTCAGCCAATAATGTGTAACATTCTTTTGAAACCAGCTTCAGTTGTTTTCACAAGTTTAATCTTTCTCTGTGTGAACTAGGTTGTGTGTTTTGTTCACACGCCTTCCTCATTGCCAGCTCAGATTTCAGCATGCTATTGGCAGCTAGGCAGAGAAAACTAGATTCTATTTGAACTATACTGCATCAAGTGGAGCTACAGTAGATGACATGATCTAAAACCTATAAACATCCAAGAGCTCTGCTAGAGGTTTTTCTATTTCCATGGCACATAGGCAATGCATAAGTGCTACCAGTGTGGGGGCACAGCTCTGCTGCCACCATAGTGGGGCAGCACAATTTGCGCTGCTGCCAGGCTTTGGCTCTAGCCAGGCTGCAGCCTGTGCCTGTGTCCTGCCATTGACTCAGAAATATGGGGAGGCACATTATTCTGCCCCCCCCACCCCCGACCCAACACATCACCAATGCCATGGCATAATGCAGTGCTGTGTAGATATCTGAGCTAGCTCCGGTACCAGAAGCAGCATAGTCCTGTTAGTGTGGTGCTGCTTCTCAGGATAAGGCATGCCAGTCTCTCCTTATTTTCCTCTCAACCATCAGCCTCAAAGTTGGTTAGTTATGAAAGAGGTTCTGAAACTCCACAGCATACTTTTACCTGGTGATACTTTCTAGGTGAGAGATATTGTATTTACTCGATTCTAAGACAAGGTGTTTTCTCCCATTTAACACAGGGGGGGAGCCATGAGGGGAAACTGCAAGATTAAACGAACTGCTATGCGGTGAACTTCTGCTGTGATTTCTGTAGGTCCCTAGCTATGGGGGCTGGGCTAGGGCCACGTTCCATGCCCCAGGCTAGAATGGGGATGGAGCCTGCAGGCATGGAGCAGGGGTAAGAGGGGAGAAGAGGCTGGGGGGAGGGGAGGAGAGGGAGAAAGCACAGGCTGGAGGAGGAGAGGGTATGGGGGAGGAGAGGCAGAGGGGGCAGGGGGAGCAGGCAGAGGGGCAGGCACAAGCAGGGGAAAAGCTGTTTGATTTCCCCATCCCAGCTGTTTGCCTTCCCCCGTAGCAGTGGTGGGAGGGGGCTTGAAGTAAAGATGGCCCTTCAATAATTAGATTCTATACATGGAAGATTATAACAAATTTATAAAGTTTCCATGTATAGAATCTAGTTACTGGTGGGGCGTCTTAAATTCAAGGTCATCTTAGATTTGAGTGAATGCAGTAAATAGTAGGCTGAACTATTCAAGTATAATTCAGGTGCAGGGAGGATTGCACCCAATACATTTTCTAAACTTCTTTATTTTATTTTCATTGCCTGAGCACGTGGCACATGCTTTTTCTGTCTCCAAATCATGGATAACATCTCTAACAACATTCTGTGATTCTCTCATAAGTGAGGTATGAGATCACATTTTTCTCCTGGATGCTGTAGCCATTACTAAATGCTTGTAGCCATTACTAAATCCATTTTAAAGCCTTATTAGCCATTTTAAACTGATGTCAACATTAATCCTTTTAGTCTTTCCTTTTAATTTTTCTCTCGTTTCTTGACTTGCAGTAACTGATAGTACACCTGAATTTTTAGTCTTTCTGGAGGAGAACATGAAGGGTGAAGTGTTCCAGGCATTTATTTAAACAGCTCATTTTGTGATGCTTTCAAGCTTGTTGTTAGCAAAATAACGAAACAATTTTCTTATCAAATCTTTGCCATAATGTCTTGTGGCATAATCACTTCGCAGTTTTTTTGCATCTGAAGACTAGCAGGAAAGCAGAGTGCTGAAGAGTTGTTGGAAGGTCTTGGAGAAGAGCTTTAACAGTCCTTTCAGCCCTATTTTGATAACCATGTTAGCTTAGAAAATGCTTCCATCATGGTATTATCAAACTCATCCATGTTCTGCTTTTTCACTACACTGGACAGAGCTTTAGAGAATGGCACATTTGAACTTAGAAACTCAGAAGAAACTGGTTATCTGAAATTTTGAGATGAGCAAAAATCCTTTCTGTCTTTTTACATCATACCTCTGGATTATGCCTGTTAGGATTCTTTGCACTGCCCTGCCTTACCCTAAGATTTCTGCCTATAGGCTCCACCATTGCCTCTCACCTTTTGTGCTATGGCGCCAGCATTGTGGGCTGTACCATGCTGCACTGCCTCACCCCAGCCCACCACCTGGGGCAGGGATAGGGAAACCAAATAGAGGAGGAATCCAGAGACCTGTCTGCTTGTGCAGCCAAAGAAATTGTGGGGGGGGGAGCAGTGGCTGAGTGGCAATATATAACGCCTTGCAGGCTGCACATCAGTTGGACAGCCCTGCCATATACCCTTCAGTCATTTGGTTTCTACCACTTCTATCATCTGAAGTCATGGAGAGCCAGATAAATGAATACATTGATGTTCAGTAATTGCTAAACAGTAATTATTGCTTCACACTATTCATCAACAGCTCGCACATTTGTGTCTCATACCAAGAAACCACTGTTATTACGAGGATTCTGGGGACTGGAAAACAGTATGACTTGGCCACCTTAATAGAGAACAGTGCTTTCAGACACCCTGTCCTATTGTGCAGGTGGTTTAGATTCTAACAAAGCAAGCCTCCTTAATTCTTCAGTGTAGATCCTCTTTAGTATCCAGTAAAGATTAAACAGCAGCCTGTTTAAATTTGCTGACGATACCAAGATTTGGGGTGAGGTGGGCATGCTAGTAGGGAAGGACAAATTACAGCAGGACCTGGACAGGTTACAGGGGTGGGCTAACGAAAATAGGATGGGTTTCAATACTGACAAGTGCAGAGTGCTGCACTTGGGCAGTAGGAACCAGCAGCATACTTATAAGCTGGGAAACTCCCTTCTCGAGAGCACGGTGGCAGAAAGAGATTTTGGAGTCATTACTGACTCCAAGATGAACGTGGGCTGACAATGTGAGGTCACAGTCAGTAGGGCTAACCGTACCATGTTGTGCATCCACAGATGCATCTCAAGCAGGGCCAAGGATCCTTCCCCTCTATGCGACACTGGTCAGGCTGCAGCTGGAGTACTGTGTTCAGTTCTGGGCGCTGCACTTCAGGAGGGATGTGGACAGCATTGAGAGGGTCCAGAGGAGGACCACCTGCATGATCCGGAGACAGCAGGGCAGACCCTACGAAGAGAGGCTACGGGACCTTAACCTGTTCAGCCTTCATAAGAGAAGGCTGAGGGGGGAACTGGTGGCCATCTATAAACTCACTAGGGGGGACCAGCAGGGTTTGGGAGAGACCTTGTTCTCCCGAGCACCCCCTGGGGTAACAAGGAATAACGGCCACAAGTTGTTAGAGAGTAGGTTTAGACTAGACATCCAAAGACACTACTTCACAGTCAGGGCGGCTAGGATCTGGAACCAACTTCCAAGGGAAGTGGTGATGGCTCCTACCCTGGGAGTCTTTAAGAGGAGGCTTGGCGTCTACCTGGCTGGGGTCATTTGAGCCTGGTTTTCTGTCCTGCCCGGGGCAGGTTGTCAGACTTGATGATCTACAAGGTTCCTTCCGACCCTACTTCTATGAATCTTAGATTAATTGCTCTTAGGGCTTGGACAAGCATACATTTTAGGTGCTTTGGAAGGAGGAAGGGGATTTGTGCTTGGGAGTGTTATGTGAATAGGATCTTTAAGAGCTTGCAGTATACAAGCAAGCTAAATTGCACTAATTTTGACTCTGAAAGAAGCAGGGTTAAAGTTGGAAGGGTTTTACTACCTTTTGCCTGAATCATGCAGGCATAGGAGTTGCAGCTGGTATTGATATCCTGTGCTAGTGATACAGTTGTTGCATCTGTCTTTCACCCCTCTAGCCCCTCTTTCTAATTCTTGGTTACTTCATCCATTTGCCAGCCCTTGCACACATACACACCTTTATAGCTTTGTTTCTTACTGGGTCCCAAAGATCCTCAACGTTCTCATTGTTTTTATTTTTACTTGCTTTGAATTCATTACAGAATGAAGATGGAACCTAATGAGCCAGCTCTTAGGTGCTCCGAGATAACACCTGACACACTCTAGGGTACCGCAAGGAAGGAAGGGCAGCAACTAGGGGCCATAAACCACATTTAACATATCATAACATAGAGCAGCTTAATGAGCTGCAGTTGTTTTAGAAGGAATGCCATATTGCCTGAGGACCTGGTCACAGTGCTCTGTCTGTTGGGATTTGGTTTCTGTCCCATGTTTCTAGTTTTAAAAAAAGTCTCCATTATGTACAGCACATTTAATGTGAACATTTCAGACTTGCATTCCAAATATTTGTAATGGGAGGTGGACCTAGTTATAACAAAAAGATTTCTTTTTTTCTATGTCTTGTCTGACTGAAAACATTATTGGCCTTTTCACAGCCATATATACAGGTGCTGATATGCTTCTGTTGCTTTGTGCTATGTTTTTTAGAATGTACTGTAAGCATTCTTTGTTCAATGGTTCAGTAACTTTGTGTCTTATCCTGCAGCTACCCTGAAGTGCAATCAAGATGAATTACACAAGAAAGCACTTCAGACTTTGGAGAGGTGAGAACCTGACTGATATTTGTGTCCCTTTTTATGTGAAGCCAAAATAATTCCCTTTAAAAATGATTTCATTCTCTACAACATGCTTCAGTGTCTGACTGTTTAACAAGTCTTTTAGATGCTGGCAGTCATTCTTCTAAACCAGTCCACTGATTGCAAGAATATAGTGGATCGTTTGGGGAATGTCAAAAGCCAACTCCTTGAGAAGAGTCCTTTGGCTGCTTACAGCTACTTACAACTTAAAAATAAGCCAAACATGAGGATTATGCCCAAGATCCACCAAGAGACTTTGGGCATCTGGCTCCCATAAAGGAATCTGCAACTTCTGAGTTAGGCAAAAATTGCATTCTGAATCCTCAGTATAGGATCCAAAACAGTCAGCATGCTTAATTGGGAGCCCATTCAATAGAAAACAATGAAGACCTGGATATTTCTTAAATACTATTACTCTTCGATACTTGGGTACTTTATTCTGTATGCCTCCCTTGGCTCCAGATTCACAGATTAAAATTCCATAATCCTTTCCTGAATGTAGGTTCCTAAGACTGCTGCCCTTGTCCCCTCTTTTTTTTTTTTAACAAAAATATGAGCAAGGATGGCTTTTCCCACCCCTTCCTACCAAAAGGAGGAGGTAGATGGTGGTGAGAGAAGAGACCTAGGTTCAATTCCCTATGCAGCTTTTGGGGGTGGGTGAGTTCAAACCTACTATTCTGTGTATCCAGGACAGTTCCCCAACTACCAGGCTGTTTGCTGTTCTGAAGTAGGCGGAAAAATTATCAACTTTGACGTAGTTTCACTTTTGCATAAAAGGAATTGAAGATTCAGTTGGCCAGAGAGGAACATGGAGCAAACATAACTTAGTGATTAGGGTGTTTCCTTAAGAGAGAGGATACCAGAGTTCCAGCCCCTGCTCAAACAGGTGATATAAAAGCATGGTGGTGATACTACTGCGCTTCCCTTCACTGTGGTTTGAAAGAAGTAGCTGCTCCAGCAGTTTGTATGGAGTTCAGTCCACTAGTCATGCTCCAAAAATGTCTGCTATATTGAGCTCCAAAACAGATGGAAGAAAGTATAGTTTATGAATCCTGATGGGGTTTAGGTGGCAGAGATGCTGAGCTACTCAGCACTATTAAAACTGAGATTCTTCTGGACTGCCCAGAAGCAGAACTTTTAGGTACCTTGGCAAACTTTAATTTCAAAAGCTTAAATGGCTATAGATTTCAGTGCCTTGAGGAGTGGGTGGCAGTGAGTGGGAGTTTTGAAGATTTTGATTTTCAGTTTAGGTAACAAGAAGGACCTTGCAAGGTCCCAAGTTCAGCACATCTCAGTAAGTGTAAGGAAAATGATGGTATTTTTCTTTAACTAGTTGCCTCAAACTCTAGCTATCTTAGCCATGTTAAGGTGATGGTCAAGATACCTAAGCTCAATGTGGGATCTGTCTCAGACTTGTTTCTTACCTTCTCACATATTGGCACCAGTAACAAAAATTCTGTAGGTCAAATTCTGTCCTCCATAACACCTAAGACAGCTCTGTTGTATTCTGAGACTGCACAGATGTAACTGATTGATCCTGTAACTAGAGCTTAGTTAACAATTCTGTTGGTGTCACACAAGAAGGAGCAGAATCTAGCATGCTCGCTCTCAGCTCTGTTGGCTCTGAAGTGGTAATAGGAGTATATGGCAGTAAAAACTTATTTTTGTCACTAAAGTCAGCAGACTTGTCTCCAGATCCTTATTCATGTTGCTCTGAAGGGTAACAAGGTGCATTTTGGCACTTTTCAGAGTAGATCTGTCACTTTAACTAACATGTGTTCTTGACTCCTATGTAGTATCTCCCGTACTGTGCTATTTAGATGTAACTGCTGTGCTGCATTGCTTTTTTAACCGTATTTATTTTTATCCTTTGACCTTTCCCACTGGCAGTGACTTATTTTCATGGTATCTTAACTCTAGCTAAGAAGCAGACAACCCTGTAGCCAGTCATATCCATAGTACAGCCGACAAGGGGTGCTGCAAGTCAGCCAGATAGTGCCCTTTAGTGTCTGCATGTTTTTCAGTTCCAAAGTACGTGCAGGCTCTGCCAATCCAGAGTGTAGGAGCCTGTGGCCATCCTTAAACATGAATCTCTTGGCTGGAAGCCTTGTTTCACCAGCTTGTTTTTGTTGTTGTTTGAATACCATTTAAAGATGAGAAACAAAGTAGCAGGTCTTTTTCTTTCCCAAACCATTGTTAATCATTGTTCTCCATACACTGAGATGACTTCCTTTCTTTTTAGCCCTTTAGCCTATTGTTAGAGGAGCTGTTGCAGACTTTATAAGAAGGACTTTAAAAAGAACAGTTCCTTCTCTTCCAGTAACCTAGATAGAACAGGCTTGCATTCAGGTTTATGTGTAATAAATAAATAAATCAATTGAGCTCTCTGTGACACATTGCAGTATAATGTATCCAGTGTCACATCTTAATCCCTGGAACTGGTATGGATCATTCTAGCCAAGAGTTCATAGGCCAGTTCTAAACCAACAGAGATAAAGGGCACACTCTGTCCAAATTAAACTTGCCGGTCTTGGAGCAATTCATTATAATCATCAGCTCAATAGAGTTTAGCTCAGGCTAAGATTATAGATGTGTGGTAACTGCCATTGACATAGTGTGTGGTTTGTGTTTCCTGTAGCAAGTCTTAAATCTTTTCATTAGTGAATGAATAATTTGGCAGTGCTTAGCCATCAGGCTTGTCAGTCTTTTATTTCTCCCTCACAAACTCTTCAACTGCACTTGCCTCCGGGCAGGGTAGCACAGGTGCAGACTTCCCTCTTCTTTGGAATAAAGCCCAAAAAAGTTAGAAAACATCTATTTAGTATGATCAGCCTTCCCTCTTGTGGTAAGGGCATTGTTGTAAAAGAGACCTGGGAGAGGAGGGTGAGTTTGTTAGCCAGCATGGAGTCGGTAATAGATTTTAGAGTGTTATCTGAGAGACCCTTCAGAAATCCTGTAAGGAAACCCATGGGTCAGGTTTGGGTGAAACCCATTTATTGTATTTTTCCTTCCTTTTGTAGGGCTGGGGCAGTGGTTATAGAGAGAGCCTGTTTAGAAGTCTCTGCCCATTCCTAAATAAAACAAAAAGTAAAGCCTTGCAAATGTGTAGACTGAGCTGTGTTGGCAGTGAAGCTTTGTATTCAGGATAGTACAAATTCTTATTCCATGTAGTTCTGTAGAGGGGCATTTATTACATGCACTGCCAGAGAAGCAGCAGCAGAGCCTAGTGGGAGTAATGCACGGACCTGGGTATTGAGAGACTTTGGTTCTGTTCTTGGCTCAGCCATTAACCTGTGCGTGTCTTTGGGCATGTCACTTGCTCTCTTTCTGTGTGATTTCACTCCCAACTTCAATCTGTCTTGACTAGTTGGATTGAAAGCTCTTCCAGGCTGATAATAGCCATGTATTTTGCATTCTACCTGGTACTGGGGAGCCAGGGGTGCTGATTTTCAGACTGCTATTTGCTCACTGAATCCAAATAGTAAGAACAACAGCACTAAGAGGGGAAATTGCCATTTTATTTGTTAGCAACCCCTTTCCTGTACCAGAGCCTTTATTCAAATATTAGGATATTGCTGCTGTGCCTTGGGTGAAATAGTAGAAGGTAGTTAGCCTGAGGCTTTTATTTAGGATGAATTGCTTAAAACAATGCCATAAAGGTATGTGGGTCATGAATGGAGAGCAAATGATTTGCACTCTCTTCCCTCTTCTCCGTCATAGTCAGGTATCTAAACATCCTGCCATAAATCATCTCTTGCAGATTGTCAGCATGTTTTTTTTTAAAAAATGATAGAAGCTTCGCATCTGGCTGTATAAAAATGCCAAGCATCTAGATTTTATAGCAGTTCCTGCTTGCTTGTTTCATGAGCTTGGCTCAGCCAGCAGAGCATTCATATGCTCCTGTATGCTCTGCACTTGTAGAATTCCTCTTGAAATATGCTTTCTAAAATTTATGCATCATTTGTGGCTTCTTTCTGGTAGAGGAAACAATGAAAAGCACAATCTGATTTTTCACTTTCCTTTTTTTCTTGTTTGGTTGTCCTTAAAGAGCACATCACCTGGCCCCTGAAGACCACCAAATCATCCTTTACGTCTCAATGCAGCTGGCTCTCGTCAGACAGGTATGTGCCATGACTGGTAATTTCAATTCTGTCAGCCACCAAGTGGCTAGGAGTTAGTGGAATGACTCAGCAGAATAAAACCAATCCTGGTCACACTCAGTAATGACTTTTTTCCTGAAAGCAGGGAGAGAAGGAGGGAGGGAGGGGCAGTAGCATTAACTCAAATCCACCTTAACAAAAAAACGAATAAGTAAGAACTGCCTAGCCTGGCATTCAACCCAGTCCTATGACCCTGGTTGTCAAGCCTTTCCAAAAGCATTTATCCAGTGATTCATCTCTGTCTGTCCCCTGCACTCTGTGCTCCTAAGCAACTGTGCACGGGAAGGGCAAAGGCCAAACGTGAGATGTTTGTTATTTTTTAACCAGGCCCTGTTCCTGGTCTGTCGGCTCCAAAATCTCTTTTGTTACTTTTAAAATTCTCAATCTCTTAAAGTTCTCAGGTTATATATATTAAGGAGTTGCCTACTCCATGCTTGAGTACCTTCCACTATGATTTCTGTGGCCCTTGGTAGCATTATTTGGCGCTCAGATGTTACTGCAGATTTTAGGTTAAAAAAAAATCAGACTGTTTTTAACAGTGTGCTTTGCTGTGTTTAAGAAGATTTGCCTTTTCTGTTAAAAGCAGATGACCTTTGTCAAAAAAGCTGAATGTTATTAGAAACCCTTTTAGCTAGATTTGCAATTTCATCAGCGTATTTTCCTTCCTTGGCAGGCTTTCTGTTCACTGCAGATTTCTCTCTAGTCTAGTCTTTGACTACAGAGTGAAACAGATGCTTCTTACTTTCCTGAGCTAATTAGGTGAGCTATTTGTTCATTAGGTTAAACTAATTGTTCCAAGAGAGCACACTCTTACTAATGTCACTTTTGCAACCCTTTCATAATAAGAGCAGTGTTTTGTGAGGACTAATGCATCAGGATAGATAATTAAAACAGCTTATTGAACTTTGTCATCAGTCTCCTGTGTACCTCACAATACAGTTTTCTTAGGGCCTTTAATGAAAAAAAAAATCTAACTATTCTATTTTCTATGCCTATACACTCTGACAGTCTGATCTGCTGGCTTCTTAGCTCCTTTGAGGAGATAAAATACTAAAGGAATGTTTTTATAGATACATTTTTCATGGCTGACCTCAAAAAGAATAAAACTGAGGTTTTCTGGTCATCATTTGTCCCTCCTCCCCCTTACTGAAACAGCAAGCTTTGATTCATCCTCCCTGTCTATTTCTAAGGTTCTAGTCTTTCTTAGAGGTGAGATTTCATATGTTGCATTTTGTCCTCCTTTTCCACTTGTTCTGTCTGTTCCATCCCCCTTGCTGTCTTTTGTGTCTCCTGCTGCACCTGCGGATTTGTCCTTGACATTCTGCCCCTTGCCCCTGCTCCCTGTAGGTGTGAACCCTGTATGTTATGTTGTCAATTTGGCCCCTACCGCCCTGCTTCTCCTCTTCTCCATCTACTGAGAAATAAATCTTTAACGCATGCTTGGAGTGATCAGAGATACCTGAGACATCTTTATTTTTAGACCACTGTAAAATATCCTGTTCTTCTTTTGCCAGTCTAGTTAACGATAAGCATTTGGCAATGCATTTTTAATATCCTTAATTATTTAAAGTATCTAACATACTCTTTTTCTGATTAACTGAAAGATAACTTATTCTCTCTTCTCTCTCTCGGCATTTGACAGATTTTATTAACTGTTGAATGTCACAATTCAAGGTTTCATCAGGCTGCATCACGCTGCTAAGATATTAAAAGTGCAGTTTTATGCATTTGCCTATTACATCTTACCTTTTCTTATAAATAAACCTTATTTTCATTATCAAGATCACTTAATAAGGTGCCTTAGAAAGAGCTGAATAATATGGACATAAAACTTCCTGAAATAGATGGCAATGTTCTGCTTTTTCAATTCCACAAGTAGACTGAATTAATGATGCTGAAAAAACTTCCTACCTTGAAAAGACTCTAGAATATTTCTAGCAGTCATTTTTCTATTACTTGCTTAAAATAAGTCTGGTAAATACAGGAGAAGGGGGAAAGGAAACAGAAAACCCTGAAGTTTACTCTGTTACCTAGGCAAGGATGCAATGTAAGGACCTGGTTATAAAAGATCCCTCAGGTGAAAGGGTCAGTCTTCAACTATCAGTGTCAATGATGGTGTTACACTTGACACGTATATTTGAAGGCACTGCTTCCTTTCATGGATTGATTCAAAGACCACTGAAATCAATGGGAAGACTCTGCTTTGAGTTCAGGTAGGCTTTGGGTTGGGCTATTAAAGCACTTTCTGCAACACCCGAGTAAATACACATGAATGCAAATATGTCCTCATCCATAAGGAGAGTCTTGTTTTATTTTTTTCCTGGTCTTGAAGTGCTCGCAGGAGAAGAGCAGTGTTGGCCTTGGAGGTTACTAACATCTGCAGGGCTCAGTTGAAAGTCAGCCAAACAAGTTAACAAATGAGACTTCCAAGTTTCAAGTCTAGGGTACTAGTTCTGTCTCTTTTCCTATTTCTATGACAATAGAGTTGGGATCCGCAAAAACAAGGTAGAGTGAATTTCTGAAAAGCAGGCAGCTTTTAAAAGTCTAGCTTGTTTTTGCCAGCCTGTTTCCATGGAAATGACTTGAAGGAGTCAGAACACTTGTTAATTGTAGGTGCCGATTCCTTTTTTTGGCCCTGAATACCATGTAAATCAATGTCAGATCCATAAAAAGAACACGTAAGGTTTTCAAGGCATTTTAAAACTTGTACTGATGTCTTTTTGATTTGGTTTGACCTTCCTCCCCAGGAAAACAGGGGTGGAAAGGCAGCCAGGGGCCAGCAGCTGAGAATTAGTTCTCACTTATCAGTTTCATCTGTGGGCTGCCAGCAGAGACCTGATGTTTCAAGTGGCAATTTTCAGAAAACATCTACAGGCTTGAAGGGTGCATGTACTTCAGCAGTGAGGGAAATTAATAATAATAGTAATAAAAGGTTTGGAATATATCTACCAGTTATTCCCCTCACAGACTGTTATTCCTTTTAAGCATATGGTTTCAAGGAGGGTCGATTAACTCATAAATCCTATTTTGTGTGTGATGGTAAAGAAGAGATCAGAACTCAGTTTTGTGTGTGTGTGTATGTGTGTGTGTGTGGAGAAACTTAATGTTGAGACTGTTGGGTATAGACCAGTGATTCCCAACCTTTTTTTGCTACAACCCACTGCTGGGAGTGGAGTGCAGCGGCTTGGGGCAGAGGAGCTCCTGGCAAGTGGCGTGGATCATCCTTTATGTGCAGTGCTGCCAGTATTGCCATTGCAGCCCTCATTTGGGTCGCGACCCGAGGTTGGGAACTGCTGGTGTAGACACTCATAGTCTTCTTCTGTCTTGCACTCACTCATTCGCTCTTTCTGAGTAGCACTGTTTCCGTTGTACCCCGTTTGGTCTTTCTAGGTCAGTGGTTCTCAATCTTGTTAGACTCAAGGTACCCCTCAAAAATACGAGCTCTAAGCTTTCACTCGATTATTTTCCATATTTAAAAAAAACAAACAAAAAGGACTCAGAAGGCTCACAAGAGGTCAGAATGTTTTTTGACACTGGATTCCTATTTGAAATCTCTGGGTTTATCCTGTGAATTAAGTGTAGATGGTTGTCCACACAACAGTGCTAACATTGCATGGTATCCCATGACAATCTTAAAAGCATGTCATTGGTATAGCATACTGGTTGAGAATCAGCTTTAGGTTCTGACCTATAGTTTTGGGAATAATAGAAGTCCCAGTCCATGCAAGTCTGCTAGCTTCCTTTTCATTAAGAGTTCAGTATGTGCCCAAGTGATAAACATTTCAATCTTTTCTTCATAGTTTCATAGTTTGTAGGGTCAGAAGGGACGTGAGCAGAACATCAAATCCGACCCCCTGCCATGGCAGGAAAGAGTACTGAGGTCAAACGACCCCAGCAAGGTGTTCATCTAACCTCCTCTTAAA